AATGTTCAATCTCGTCCAAAGGTCGCATGCACTGAACACCAACTCCCCATGGATCGTGCACCCGGAGCTCAGTTCTGCTGCCTTGCGGGTCTAATTTCCCCGTCATAGACTTTGTATGAAAACCTCGAGGTAATCCTCATTGAGCCTGAACAACCGGACATAACGCGTTAAGGGGGCAACTTTTATGCACGTCCTTATATGTCACGGCACTTCCGCTGGTCTTCATAGAATGGGTGTATACATTGCATACCCTTGATTGAATTGATGTTCTGCCAACTCACCGAAAGACTTGTCTAACCGGCATAGGTTACACAGTCATGTACTGTTTTTGGCACATCTACATTTTACTGGTTGATTTTTCGACCCCCGTCGCGGGCCGTCGCAACTCCTTGCTACTAGACCTGGTCTACAAGACATTCTTTTTTACCTGCTCAGGAATCGGTCTAACAAGCATTTTGTATGCAAGAAGTGTTGGAACAATTGTATCATTTATTAATCACATATCAACTGTATACGGTTTTCGGAACATATTTGTCATCAGTCGTTTGTACTTGTCCCCACTCACCCTGGATTTTGTCATTATTTCATAAAATAGTAAAATGTTGTCCGCAGAAGGGGGGAGGCTTTCTACTACGCAATATTTCTCAAGACGAGGTTTCCACTTGTGTTTGCCTTGGAAAACAGATAGTTTTTCCTCCCGTTCGATATTGTGATAATTGTACGGAAACTGTTGGGCAACTCACTGGTTGCACGCGGCACTTCTGTGAGGATTCGTTATCTCTGGATCAAACACTAGCTTTCGACTCAGTCAGCCACATAGTTTGTCGCTGCAGCATCTCTCCCACCCGCTCTCTTATTGGCTTGTTTGACGAACGGGAAATCGTGATTGTAAATAGTTCGTGGTCAACCAGAGGCACACCACCCACACACACTGGTGAAGTGAATTATGTGTGCTCGCGTCCGACTCCTGATCAGTATAGGTCATTCGTTCCGTATCCGGATGTTGTTCCATGTTTGTCGTCCATTCAAATAGGTGACGCTGGAGGAAGAGGGCGGGGAAGCAGGTGTAACGTGCACTCCATGCGACAAACCTGGCCTTTTGTCCTTTTGTAATTATCACACAATGAATGGCAGTCGACTGGATTTTATGAATTGCCGCCAAAATCACAATACACAAATTAGTCGTGCCCGTGTATGTATGGCTAGTGAAAATTTGATCTACCTGAGAGTGAACAGACAAAGTGAATTGCGATTAGCGAATAGAGCTCGTTTTCTAACCATATATGTACAATTATTCAGAGGGTGTGATCCGTTGAAAAGTGTTTGAACGAACAATATCGCTGTCTTTTCATCATCATTAATTACCTCACTGCGACTGGCTCCTTGTCGTGGGTAAGCCGGTTCCATGAGAGTGTACAGCCAGCATGATCACAGAGTTTCGTTACGAGAGATATCCCCAGCGTCACTCAGCTTTTTTCGGCGGCAAATCTCTAATTTTGAGCAGTCAAGTGTGGACTGAAAGCCAACAGCTTTTTACTGGATGGTTGCCTGTGGCTCCGTAGGAGCTCATTGGCCATTTCGCAGATGTAGCTACAATCCCGGGAGTTCACACATCCCTGATAGTTGGACACGCTTCCTTTATAGTCATTGAATCAGGTAGTAGGTCTCGTTTTCTCATTCATTAGTATCTGTTTTCGCCTGCCGTACACAGTCTTGCCAAGGCCTGTGTGCCTCAGTTACCCTCAACCTGGCTTAGTCCACCTG